TCGTTCAGCATCATCATCATCTTATTCAAGTCTTCAGGCAACCGTCGAGTGTTGTGAGCTGCATCGTTAGATACGTAGGAAATGACAGTTGAGGAGTTTCTTCTTAGGTTCTTGCGTGTGTGTCCCGGGTTCCTTCCCGTTTAGGCTTAGGCCTGCTTCCTCTTTGTTCTCGCCCCCGTGCGATCGAAATCCTTTTTCTCTCGCGTTCAGGCGATCGAGACCCCTTCTCTTGCCCCCGTGCAATCGAGATTCGTTTTCCCGTCGAACTACGTTTGCTCTGATCTCTCGTGCCAGACGAGAGTACGTAGGCATAGGATGCGACATCCTAGCGAGCTATCTCCCTTTTCCCTTCTTCCCGTTTCCCCGTTAGCTGTAGTAGGCTGAACTACAGCTGCTCTGATTTCTCGTATCGAATGAGAATATGTAGGCATAGGATGCGATATCCTAGCGAGCACACTAACAACTAACCTCTCTGTTCTCTCGCTGCCGTGCGATCGAGACTTTCCCGCTAACGACTGATGTTTCCCTTTCTCTTGCCCTTGCGCATTTGAGACCAGACTGTAGTTCTATGTTCCGTAGGTTCCCGTACCTCTAAAACCAACTTAATCTCTCACCCCTGTGTGATTGAGAACACCCAGTCTAGCCGTAGTTAGCCTGAACTACGTAAGCTCTGATCTTTCACGTTGTGTGGAAGTATGTAGGCACAAGACGCGAAGTCTTGGCGAGCCCAATCCCCTGTAGTTTCTCGAACTACGATGACTCTGACTTTCTCTCTTGAGAATACGTAGGCATAAAGTGCGACGCTCTATCGAATCAGTTTCTTTCCGTTTAGCCTTAGCAGCCGTAGATAGATTGTTTTTGCATCCTTTAGACAAACCAACAAGCGTGGATCCCGTCGAGTACGACGGACGTGAGGGGTGCTAATACCTTCCTCTTGCGTAACCGACTCCCGAATCCAGGATTTGGTTGCGATGACCATTCCTTTCCCGTCTTTGCGGTAGGTTTACTTCGAGCGTTTCCTTTCCCTCTTGTGGGATAAATAATGCACGGTGGCGACTCTTCTGTTTAGTTGGCGCCGATTTTCGCAGTAGCAACAACATGGCAATGCCATGTCATTTTAAAATTAATCCTCTTTATTTTTTTGATTTGATATATACTTAATGTGTTTTGATTTCATTTTCAGAAATTATAATTTAATACCAATACATAAAAATGCAATGTTATAAAACCATAACATTTCATTTTTCACTTCACTGCCTCTTTTCCATTTATTCATTGCAACTTTAGTCATCTTAGAAAAACTCAGGCGTAACTTTCATCTTTCTTCATCCCGTTCTTCATAATTCACAACTTTCATTGTTCATCATGTTTTTCACAAACCCATCGTGTCTCCTTCATCCAACCATGTCTGAAACAAGTTTTTCATTTGCCTCAACAATCTAGTCCAATATAAGAAGAAGATGGGATAGATGTTGGTCTGAGCTTGAGTCACCATTGATGACATCATGGACATACAATAATCTGGGAAGAAGATTTCATGGTTGTGGTAATTTTAAGGTGATGAGGAAAAAAGGATGTAATTATTTTCAATGGTTTGATGAAGACAAGAGCAGTCGTGTAAAAGATGTGGTTAGATCTTTGAAAGACAAGAATGAAGAGCTTATGGATGTGATTAAGGACATCAAGAAAAATGAAGATTTGTTGAAGATGAAGATTAGGTTTATGTGTTATTTTATGGGTTTATCTATGATGTTTGTGTTGTTACTTGTGTTTGCATTAGTTGCAACACATGTACTCAAATGATGTAATTTCTCGATGTATTTTCAAATGAAGTAATTTGTCTATGTATTTGGATAAATGGTTGTCTGTGTTATATTTGTCTATGTTTTAACAAGTTGTGTAAATGTGGAAGTTGAATCACATGTGTAATTTATAATTGCACATAACTTGCTTGCAATTGTGTAATTTGTCTATGTATTTGGATAAATGAATTATAGTTGTGTAAATGTGTAATCCAACTTGTCATCATACTTCTAACTTATAATTGCACATAACTTGTTATCAGACTTGTAACTTATAATTGCACATAACTTGTTATTAGATTTGTCTATGTATTTGAATTAACTGTGTAGCTTATAATTGCACATAACATGTTATCATATTTGTAATCCAACTTTCAATTCAACATAACTACAATTCAACAATTTAACATAACCCTGAGTTTTACAAGCTTCAACAGCATAACAAAAAAATACCTTGAGTGTTTGGTCATTACATAAACTTCAGCAGCATAAATAAAAGACCCTGAGTGTTTGGTCATTACATAAACAAGATGATCTTAAGTTTTGGTCATTACAAACTTTATCAGTATAACAAAAAGTAAAATTAAACAAAGCACTATTCTTGGGTTGGTGGCGGTGCTTGTGACCCTCCTATAATCGTTTGTTTTGCCCCTTTTTCCGACTTATCACCCTTTTTTTGCCTTTTTATGGCCACCTTTAGGAATCGCTCTCTCTATAGCTCGCTTCCCTTTACACGTTCGCTTGTTATGGCCAAAACTCTCGCATTTCTTGCACTTGACAGTTTGAAGAGTTCTAAGCAGTGTATTTCTTGTTCTCGATTCATCATTCACCTTGTTACCATTCTTCTTTGGACGACTAATAGATTTCCGCATGAATGGACGGTTGATTGGATGAGCAACATTAATAGGGCATAGTTGTGGGCCATTGGTTGGCATAATGGTATGGCTATAAGTAGCCAGCACAATAGACTTCCTATACATAAAAACATGATGCTTCAATAAGTGAACATAATAGATGTTAGTAAGTGAACGTAATATATAAGAAGGTGACACCTATAGTATAATGAAACATAATCTTCAGTCTCCTTCTTGTTAAACCATATGCATGCAATAGCATGACAACATGGTATTCCACTTAAATTTCACTTTCTACAACCACGTTTCTTTTGCAGCAAGTTAACAACATATGTCTCAACACCGTTTGAAACCCCAAATATAACAAAGTCATCATCGAAATGCCATGTTGCAATCCATCATTCTGTTGCCCTCTTTGTTTTTTCCAAGACTTGTTCATGTTATTCACCTAGGGTCCGTGTTTATATGTGAGAGGGAAGAGAGTTCATGTCTTCATAACTATTAGAGAAGAAGTGAATGGCTGAAAACGTTTTTATTACTTTGATTTTTGATAGATAATTGAAATTTATTAGATAATTTAAATTTATTTAAAAAATTTACAGAAATAATTTACTTTTAAATGGAGAAATATATTAAGTGGAACTATATATGATGAAGACGATTAATTTTAAAATGATACGGCATTGTCACGTCATCTTGAAAAGTGTCACATCATTAAAAATAGGTCTTAAAATAGAGAGGTGACTAAAACCAAATTCAAAACTTAAAATAGAGACCTAAATAGTAGTTTTTTAAAAATGGAAAGATTAAAACTAAAAAAAATAAAAAAAATAGGGAGAGTAAACTTACAATTAAGTCAAATTATTAAAAAGATATTTTTTTAACATTTATTCTTGTCAAAACATGGAACTCACATTGATTTTCTATAAAAATAAATAAATAAAAGTGAATGTAAAATAGTGTTATTCACACTTCTTTCTAAAGAATCATCAAAGGCTCTTGATCAAGCGAAAATGGTTGCAAGGTTAATTTTGTCGTGTTAACCAAAACAAGGTTACTTTTTTGGCCGTTAGATATTTAAGGTATACACGTGCCTGTCAAGTGGCAATTCACTCACCGCGATCCATGCAGAATCAAATTTGCGGTTGATAAGTTCTGTCCTATCTCATCAAATTTACGGTTGATAAGTTCTGTTCCATCTTTAATATTTTATTAGTCTGGTCTGATTTATTATAAAAATAAATAAATTTTACGTTTATTAAAAAATATAATTAAATATATTTAATTTTGTTGATTTGTAAGAAAGATAGCATAATTATTAGTATACTTTCAATTAAATTGGACTAATAATATTAAGTAATTAATTCAAAAATAATTTTAAAATAATACATATATAAATTTGTTGATATTTCTTATATTTAAAACTAAAAAATTTAAAAGATTTTCCTTATAAGACCGAAGAGTGTATTTTATACTCCACAAAATGTAAATTTATAGGAAATTGAGAAAATAAAATTCATAACATATATTTTATCTGAGCACACATGAAACGATAAAGTTTCTTCCAACTCAATTAGATTTAAATTTCCAGCTTTATTAATAGAAGTCTTGGGTTCAAAATTATCTCCGAATTTTCAACTTCCAGCTTAATTAGAAGTTCTGGGTTTGAAATCATCTATAGATTTCCAACTTCCACCTTAATTAGATGTCCTAGATTCGAAACAATTTCTTAATTAGTGTCAAATTTCTTGAAAGAAATCTAACAGACTATTGTGATCTTTTCCCACTTGAAAGAATAGTCTCTAAAGTACTCCTTAGAGGATTATCAGGTTGTGAAAAAAATTAAGTAACATTCTAGCTTGAGTAGGTCAATCAAGCTGATGGATTTGCTGAAGTGTTAAGAAAACGTTTTGACCAATGCATTTTAGCAAAGAAACCCAATAACTAAAAGAACGTTAAAATTATAAGAGAAAGTCTTGTCCATGTAATCAGGCCTGATGGGTTAGTTTCCCCATTTGCGCCTAGAAAATAAGTGATTTATAGAACTACAAAACAGCAATGACTTCAAAAAAACAATAAAAAATCACAAATTCAACTAATAGGTAATCACCATAAATTGACAATAATGTTTTAAATCAACTTAATTAACACAAACAATAACGAAATAGAAAGTACTGAAGCATATAGCCACTTATTGGGAAACTAAGTTCAACCCACAATCAAAGGGGTGACAAAAAGACTGAAAACCAAACATGACATGTATTCGAATAGGAATAACCAATGTAAATAGACTCATACTGAAACAGATGGCAATGAACAAATCAACTTGCAATGCAATAACCTCTTAGAAAGCTCCAAGAGTTCCCTCGCTGCGACTCTTGCGCATGAAGTTCCATGAGTTCAAGCTCAACACTTTGTCAAAAGAATCCAAATGATGGCGACTTTGGGGTGATGCTTTTGTTCCGATTGGTGGGAGGTGGCCTTGCTTTCCTTTGGAATATTTTGGTGAGGACCCGGATGACGGCCTCCGAGCAGACGTTGGCACCTTCCTTGTAGTTTTGCGATCCACTCTAAGACCGCGATCAAACTGTTGTGAGCTCATTCCTAGTCGAACTGCACGATCTGCACTGTCCTTCAAACCGTTTGCTTTGAACGGCTGCCGATTGTAGTAGACGAGATGAGGAAGAAGGCCTTGCAGGTATTTCTTAATCTGTTCATCTCCGACGTTTTTCTGGCAAGGGTTCCCTTCCAAGTTGATAGCTAGCAAAGAATTATAGTTGGCTGCAAGTTGTCCAAGACATTTGGCGGTCGAAATCTTGTTAAAGCGGAGATCCAAGATACTTATTTTCAATAGGCGGTGCAAACCCTCGACTTCACCAATCTTGTTTCCAGCCAGGTACAACTCCTTTAGGGAAGAACAGGATGCAAGACCTTTGCAAAGGAGGAAAAGATTAGCCGAAAGAAAAACAGAAAACACATCAAAGGAATGTCACAAATGAACAATTCAATGTCAACAGATCACGGTATAAAAAATTATACCACAGACTAAACTTGAGATGTAGTTTAAGAATTTCTTTTACCATGTCCAATTCTTAGTATACGATTGTAGCTGAGGTCTAGGACCCGAAGCCGAGTAAGTTCACGTAATCCCTCTATAGTGGAGATATTGTTTTTTGACAAGTTCAACGTGTGAAGTCCTCGAGGAAGGGCACCGGCAGTTATCTTCACTGAAAAAGAGAATTCAAAAGAGACAAGGTAAATGAAATTTCATGCCAAAGTTAAAGATTATCACAAGTCAAAAGTAATGATGAATAAATAAAGCATACTACTCACCGATCCCATTTCCAGACAAATTGAGCACCTTCAAACTCACAAATGCACTCAAAAAGGGGATTACAACCAACCCATGATTTGCCAGCTGAGCTGCAGAGGCATTGGCAGTTAAAGACGAAATATATCTTTTAGCAGCTTCCATTCCTGGAGAGATCTTATGGTCCACAACAGAAGGAGTCACAGCAATTGCGGTGTTAACATCAACTACAGGATCAACAGGTTCAGGCAATTCAGTTATATCCTCTAGAGGTGGTGCACATTGCTGCAGACCATTTACCCAATCCTCAATTCGCTTAACTTTAAAATCCTTGTTAGGATATTCACTCGAGGAATCTCCTTGAAGGGGTTCAGCGTCACTTATATCGTCTGTAATTGGCATTATCCGGTCCTTTGGTAAGCAAGAAAGCAGATGAGAATTATAACCATCTTCAAAGTATCTGTCCATACGAAAATCTTCAGTTTTTTCCATGCTACTTTCTTTTTCTTGTGTTTCCCTTGTTTGATCATAAGACACGTTGATAAACACGTCTTTCTTCCTCAGGCCTAAAGCACAAAGATCGTCGGAAGATCTTGACATTGATGATGCATATTTAAAAGACAACGTAGGAGCTTTGAAATCGGGTAAGGAACGCGACTTCCTTAAAGTTGGTGTGCTGGGACCAGAAGTATGTTCAGTGGAGTAGCCAGCAAGATCGCCAGATAATGGAGTATCAGAAATTTCATGAGCATCCTTATCTGAATGTGTCGGATCTCCTATTGAAAAAACTGAGCCATCATTGTCACGGCCAGGAACAGCTTGAAACTCAAAGTTTGAATTCATTTTGCATTGATCATTTGGGCTGCTACTTGAATTTGGTGAGTTATTGAGGCTTTTGGAAAACTCCAGATTTCGTCCACCCTCAGTCACGACTTGGCAAAGCACACTTTCCGACTGACTTTTCCTAAGACGCCCAGTTTGGTGAACTTTTCCGTCAAATTCAACGTAAAACTTCTTATTGAGATCCTCTAACTTAGCAGCGAGCTCAACTGAATCCTGGTCAAGAATATCATTCTCAGAGACATACATTAGCTTACTCGATTGCTGTTTTGAAAGTGATGAACCTATGTTCGTAGCGATAGACGGATCTTTCCTGACTGGAATTTTGGAACTATCTTGCAAAACTCTTGGCATTGTTTCAGTAGGAGGTTGAATTATTTTCTGATTAAAAGAAAAAGCTCATTCAAGTCAATAATTCATGCAAAACAAACCAAGTTATACAAAGTCTATAATCCAATACATTTCTTCATACCTTTGCCTTGTTGCCTTGGACATTAACATGAAAACAAGAAAATTTAAACATTGCTGCAACAATGTTGAATGCTACACCTAAACATAAAACTTTCTGTAAGGCAGAAAAACCACTGCCAACAATAATCTATACTGTTCATCAGTTTTCCAGAAGCCTAATAAAAAACCGAAAAACTTGAGAGGACTTCTGGGGGTACAAATCAAAAGCCACCCTTAGCCATAATCAACGGACAAACCAACCGAAACACGACACAATCTCCATATATCTGATGCTTTTGTTCTACGTAAAACGTAAAGCCAAATCACTCCTCCTTCATCACCCCACACCCTCTTAGAGGTGCGAGAATTGTTTGAATCTGTTATGGCGGCCAGAGTGAAATAAATTCTTTTTCAATCCAGAGACAAATCCGCATAAAAGACGCAAGCCTATCAAATAAAAGAGTATCAAATTATCAATGGTTGATCTGATATGCATAACATCCAAAACATAGTTAAAACACAAAAACAGAATTAATCAACCAAACATACACAGGTAAAAACAAACTCCATCTTCACAAATTCAAGATTTCTCTGGTTTTGATATTCTTGATATTCTGAAAATTCTATCTAACAACTCAATTTCACAAATTTAAGAAGAATTAAACTTCCCCACAAAAAAAACAAAAATAAAATCAAGAAAAAAACGAATTAAACCTTAAATTTAACCACATACAGAAAAATATTAACTAAAATTGCATCTATGAATCCTACAACAACAACAACAGCAAAAAACAAACGTACGATGTTTAATTTAAAAATCCTGGGAAATTGAAAGATAAATGCAAAACAAAGGTTCAACAATAAAATTGAATATATAAAAATGCAAAGAAAAATAGATAATTACTTACAGAAAGGAATCGAAGAGAAAAGAGAAGAAAATTAATGGAAAGAAAGAAAGGGCACTGTTGTATCAAGACGCAGCCTCTTCTTCCTCTCTCAACCCTGCAATGCTACGCAATATCAACATACTATTTTTTTCTTCAATTTTCTTTATATATAAATAAATAAATGATTAATTATTGATGATTAGTAATTAATAATAATAGGTTCCGAATGAAAGGTGTTGTTGAGTGCCACGCAATCACTAGCTTTAATTTAACTCTAACCCTAATTGGTTATACTAGGCGTGATTATTTGGCCATTAAAAACGCTTTATTAACAAATATCTGCCTAAAATTATGCGCCTTTATATTTTTTGGAAATTAATAACGTGCCTAAATCTAAAATGCTAAAAGTCGTATTTAGAGTAAACGAATTGAAATGTCACGTTTGATTTTAGTATTTAATATTTTATGGTTTGGGATATATTTATTTAAATTAATAATGAATTAAAATTTATAAAAATTAAATTAGTTTAAAATTAATATAACCGAGCAAATTATCTTTTTATTAAATTGATCTAGGTCCCAATAAAGTGAAATGAACTTCCAACGCAAATTTTGCAATTGAAGTAATGATCATTGTGGATGGTCTTACGCACCACCATGATGCGAGGTGTGGAGCATTCCGACTTTGTTACACCTTTTCTTTATTATTTAAATTTGGAGCGCAAATGTTTTCGGTGGTGATCGCCCGGTAAGATTCCTCTTCAATATGGTTGTTGAGCACAACATCAAGAAATAAAGATGTTTGGGCGCAAGTATGTTAGAAGAATGAGAAGGTTGAACGAAATACAATTATGAGCCGCTCAACGATCACAACAGTTTCCATCAATGCAAAAGTTCATACGAGATAACTCATAAGCAACGCCCTCTGAGCATCAATACCCAGTCCAATGCACCAAACTACCGGATTTCCATGGTCGAGCCTGTAAGATAACAGAAATTCATGGAATATGCACAAGGGAAGCATAACTTCATCAAAGACATCTCTGGTCGGTATTTATATTTAATTCCTTGTCTGACATCACTGATCTATAAGGAGATTATCAAATGAAGTGAGAGGGGACGTTACCACTTTGTCTAACAAAAGGCATCACATCGAACCACTCGAAAGGACAATTCTATGGTTTCAGAAGATTTATGGTCGTCAAGAAGCTATGTCCTCAACAAAGTCGACAGTCCCGTGGTGCCTGTCAATTATGAAGACCCATAAGCATCTGAAGTGGACCATTGCCCCGTCGGGCAATCGAAGACAATGCCAACCACACCGACGTCCCAACCAATTGAAGAAGATATGACAGAATATAGGACATTGTATCCTTACATCTGATTCTATTAGTTTGATAGTATGTAAAGTTGTTGGAGTATAAAGTTGTTGCATAGTTTCGATAATTGATAACCTAACTATTAAATGTTACGATCACAAAGAATATTATGTGTTCCGTGCATGATGGCGAGAGTCAATATTTTAAGATAGGCTTCAAGACCAAGGAGCACTCTTCTCAACGTAGTGGCGCACTCTCATTCAGATTAATCCAATCTAAGGGTGTTAGGCGGTAGAGCCCGGAGACGTCCATCTATATCAACGTCACACCTCGAGGACATGGATGGGGATCCTACCTTGGATCGGGGAACGCCCCCTGTGATGCAGAGCACAACACAAATATATAACCATATCTCACCTGGTCCAGACCCCCACCGCATGGAAAACATACACACATTGATTTAGTGAATGCTAAATAAAACAAATAAATACACATTGATTCAGTGAATGCTAAATACAATAAATAAATACACACTGAAATAGTGGATGTTAGTTACAAAGAGCAAACACAACAACCAAACATGGTAGAAAACAAAGTTTAATGCGCTAAACTGCGAATTACAATGGACAATTGTCAAGCAAGTTCAAAGGGAACATCAAGTACTTCGATGTAACGAGACACCTTTTTCCTCCTAAAGGTATGTCATAAGGGTTCTCACACTAAAAACAGACAATACAATCAAGCTCCAATGGCGCCGACTCGCAGCTCCTGGTGAACATCGAAGATATCCACAACGTAAACAAACTTTACATTGCAAGGATGACAAGGAAACCTTGGTTCTGCAACAACCCACAAATAACCAAAAGTGCACCACAACAATAATATAATGAAGCCAAATACATGACTCAAAATTAAATAATGCACGACTCACTGAGGTAATAATATTTTATTAATATTAATTATCACAACTGAGGCACAATGGCCTGACACACAATATAGAAAATAGGGAAACAATACAAAGAAAGAAGGAAGAAAAATCAAGCTGCAACTCTTAGAGTCAAAGTACCCGGATTCCCCTCCGGAGCAGCCTTGAAGGGGTCTAAGATTTCAATAAGTATAAGAGTTGTGAGACAAAATCCATTCGTTTGTTTCACGACTTGTTCACGGAACCCATACACGACCTATATCATCTATTGAAGGGAATTCTGTAACATCCCCCCTCAGACCGACAACCTCACTTTCAAGAGCCTTAGCATGAGCCTGGCCACCTGTTGAAGAGTTATCCGATACTCTTCCATGTTGCGGTTCATCTTAGAAACATCATCATAAGCCTCCTAACACTGCTTATTCTCTTCTTCAAGAGTAGTCTCTAGTTCAGTTATCCAGGCATCCAAAATATAGGGAGAGTCGTGTATTTTTTCCTCCTCTTGCAAAGAATCAACAAGCTAGGCCTTTTCTTACAGTTATGACAACTCCTTATGAAAAGTAATGCACTTATGCTTCATAGCTTCACACTTACCCTTCTGAGCGTCTCTCTCCTTGGAATGATTTCTAGCAACCAAGACATCTCCTCTGCTGGTAGTGACTAGAGATATCATAGAACAAGCTCAGTACATGTTATAGCTGACCTTAAAGAGGAGTTCCATCTACTCCGCCTCAAAGAGGTTTCGGACGAAGGACAAATCCTCCACCGATACAACATCATCAAATTTCTCAAGAGTGCGAGCAATCCGAGAAAAAATAATGACGAGCATTTGTAGGAAGGGAGTTATCTCTCCTAAAGAAGCATCCCCAGTCAAACGAGTCCATTTGGAAGAGCCCTCTTCCAGAGGGAAATGTTAATCTACATCTCAATCCTTCTTTGTTAAAATTAGGGACTGTGGCATATCCTCCACAATCAAAATGGTCGTAGCATTGACATGTTGGTCGACCCCGAGGGCATCGGTAGAGGTCTCAGTAGTTGAAAGGAGAGCAATAGTCAGAGCATAACCAATAGTTAAAGTGGGAGTATTGATCTTATGAGGGGGCATCACAACCTGGCCAGTAGGACCAGTCTTGATACCTTAGGAACTGGAATGTTCGTAGAACATCTTCAACTTTTCCATGTTATCCGCAACATATAATCACATATGTAAAAAACTAAAAGACTTTGTCCTCACCAAAAGTTTCTTTCCTCTCTGCACGACTGGTTGCGCTCACAATGACATGAGTATCAATTTGTTTCTTTCTCAACTCAGAAGAAGGCATTTCACTAGAGCCAAAACCTTCTTTGTAACCAAGCCCTTGAAACCAGGAATGCATGTCCTCCTTTATCGCTGTTAGGGGAAATAAGGCCTAGCTTGGTGCGGTAGAAATGGGTGTCCCATTAGAAATGAGATGCGGACCAATACTTAAAAAATGCACCTTGAGTTACAGAGAAAAATAAAACAAATAATACGTAGAAACTAGGAATAAAAATTGTGATAAAAGTTAGGATCCTAAAACTCATAACACGCTATGAGTTTTATAGAAAAATAGTAAAAGTGCATAAAATTATTGGCTTAATGAGAATTATTTAGATTTGAGACCATCAAACATTTTCTAAGAGCCACAACTAAAGAGGATCAATCTAATTATGGAAACAATGAAAACTTGGCAACTTTCTCTCGCCTCCCTGCTACGGACCATAACAACTGCTATGGGTGGCCATAGCAGGCCTCTGACTCTTGTACCATGAAGCCTCAATGGGGGTGCCTAGGGTTTTTGTTGCTATGGCCCGTAGCAGCTTCTATAGGTGGCCGTAGCTGCCCCCTGATTTTTGTATGGGAAAAATTCATCTTTTGCTGTTTTGCTTAGTTTTGCTTGACTTTGATACATCTTAGTCTTGG